CCAGGCGGGTCTTGACCCCGCGGGCTCAGGCATTCCACTCACCTCAGCCTCCCAAAGGCACGGGATTACAGGCTGAGCCACCAAGCCTGGCTATGTCAACTTTTTAAAACGGTTTGTATGTGTATAGAAAAGATGTTAAAAGACTATAGATATACTAGTTAACAAAGATTATCTGTAACTTACTTTATAGGTGGCATTACTATTTCATTTACTTATTTGTATTTTTATGATTTTTCATTTCAAAGTTAAAAAATTAATAATTTGGAACATTTTCCTACAGCAAATATTCTTTGAAAACATTTAATTTCTTTTTTTTTTCATGTTTATTTAGAGGCAGGGTCTCACTATGTTGCCCAGGCTAGTCTCAAATTCCTGGGCTCAAGCAGCCCTCCTACCTCAGCCTCTCAAAGTACTGGGGTTACAGAGATGAACCACCGTGCCTGGCCCTTGAAAGCATTTAATTTCTTAAAAGTGTTAAATTAAAACTTCCTCTTCCTGTCCCTGAACAATTCAACCCCGAAGCCACGAGGTAGGGCAGAGCTTTGAGAATGAACATTTGAAACTATCCTAAATGCTCAATCCAGGAGGATAGTTAAATGAATTATGGTACAGTTGAGGTGGACCGCCTGCTGTGAGTTGTCACGTCCGATGGGAGTGAGGAGAGCGCCCACGTACAGGGGTGTAAGTGGGTGTAATTGGGTGAGGCCAGTGGACATATGAGGCAGCGGGATGTGGTATGGGGTGACAGGGCCAGAGCAAGTGAGCAGGGCATCCAGTGTGGGCATTTGGATCCCAAGTGCAGTGAGACAGTATCCACGCCAGGGTGGTTCAGAGCCAGAGCAGGGTGAGAAGAGCACCCGTGTTGAGCGTGGGTACTGCTTGGTGTGGCATGTCAGAGCTTGAGCAGGCTGAGGGCATCTAAGCCTGAGGGTAGCCTATAGGGGTAACAGCCCAGCAGCACGTGGAGGGCACCCACACACTGGGGCAGCCTGACATGGACTGTTCAAGTTGCACAAGGAGTGAGTCCATGAATCAGCATGGCCTGGCTGGGAGAACCAAAGCTCAAGAAGGGTGAGGAGGGCCCCGTGGCAGAGGGCAGTCTAGAGTGGGGTGGCAAAGCCCACGGGGAGTGGTGGGGAGAACTTCCAGGTGGGAGAGGGCATGGCTGAGGAACTAGGAGATGAGCTAGCTGCAGGAGTCTTGATCAGATAAGTGAATGTCATAAGGGACTAGGAGGCAGGCACTCTCCAGTCAAAGCAGGAGGTACAGGTATGGCAAGGGAGAGCAAGAGAATGAACTCTGTGGAGGTTGATGTGGGCTCATGGTTTCTAGTACACCCAAACATAGAAATATGTAGAGATGTGCACCTGTGTGTGTGCATGCATCTATACATACATATATTCCCTGTCTGTCCACTGAAGGACTGGGAGTAGTGAGATCCCAATACCACATAGCTGGTGCCCAGATTTTAACTTCTAAATATGCCACAGGTTTTATGGGTTTACTATTAATGGCTCTTTAAATTTCTTTAGCTGTTGCAAATAGCATTGCTATAAATTGTATATGATTCCTTGTACACATGCACAAGTGTTTTAGAGGGAGTTTAGAAAATATAATTTTACACGTATATATTTCTCAAAACCACAGTTAAGATGTGTTTTGATGTGGCCATTGGTATTCTACTTTAAGCTAGTGATTTTGGGTATTTTCTGGGAATCTTAATGGACTTTTGCTATTTTCTTCTATGTTAGACAACTGAATTAGCAGTCTGTTCTTTATAATATTACTTTCATCACAGATTTATTGATTGTCTAACAAGTATGAGACCCTGTGTGAAGATGAGGCAGAGAGCCTTGCCCTGCATGATTAAGGTCTCACAATCAGAAATATGCTGCTTATATATTCCAGGAAAAGCAAAAGCACCCTCCTTCTTGTATTAGTTATTTATTATTGCTTACTCCCAAACTCAACAGCTTAAAACAACCAGCGTTTATTTTGTCACACAGTTTCTGAGGGTTAAGACTCCAGGATTGGCTTAGCTGGACATTTCTGGCATTCAGGGTTCCCGATGAGGTTGCTGCTGAGTTGTTGGCCAGAGCTGCTGCCTTGCTGCCTTCTGAAGGTTTGACTAGGTAGGAGGATCCTCTTGCAAACTCACTTATGTGACTGTTGGTAGGAGATGTTCTACACCTCATATACCTCTCTCCAGGGCTCTTCACAGCACAGCAGCTGATTTCTCCCAGAGCAAATGCAAATGATGAGAGAGAGGGAGAGAGAGTGCGCGAGCACACAAGTATGCGCCGGCATGTGAGCTCACACTTAATTCCACAATCAAGATGGAAGTCACAGGGTCTGTTATCACCTGATCTTAGAAGTAACACATCATCACTTTTTCTGTATTTTGTTGCTCACACAGACCCACCCTGTACCATGTGGGCAAGTACTACACAAGGGTGCGAATACTAGGAGGGAGGGGTCATCTCAGAGGCTGGTTACCACACCTCTAACTCTGAATGTCCTCTAGTTAATTTTAATTATTATCCCAAGATGCACAGGTACTTGATTTGGACCTGAAGGATATTAAATCTTCAGCAGGGAGAGATAAATTAAGGGAGCCCAAGTCTTGGCTTTTGAATGACTGAGTCTAGTGAGCTGGAAATGAGTCCAGTGCTCTAGAAAGAAACTATCTGGGATTGGAACATCACCTGAGAGAGTCCAGTGGCTTATACACCTGGAAGTAGCTGCGCCAGGGAAGACCTTGGGCCAACTCTGAGTCCTGCTTGCCTTCAGAGACTGAGACCAAAAATCCTGCCAAGGAAGCAGTAGACCTTTGCCCATCTACTGTCAGTCTTAACATTCAGAGCCATGTAGGTTGTTGGTAGTTCTGAGGGGGAGAATCTATTCTGTTTATTTAAGGAAAGTGGGAATTATTTGTGGTTGATGGTGGGGAGTGGGAAAGAGACTTTCTTGTATATGAGAACTAGAAGGACCTTCTAATCAGGAAACTCTGAGAAAGTCAGGTAGAGAACCTTCTTTCCAGCTTTGTGGTTTGAGAGGGCTGGTTTTATGCCTTCTGACATTAGTGATTAAGCAACTTTAGGACTTCAGCTGGATGCAGTGGCTCACACTTGTAATCCCAGCACTTTGGGAGGAGAAGGTGGAAGGATTGCTTGAGGCCAGGAGTTCAAGACCAGCCTGGGCAGCAGGGTGAAACCTGATATCATTTAAAAAAGGAAGAAATCTTAGGGCTCCACATGGGCCTCACATCCCTTGAGCTGAAATGTGAACCCCACCTTACATCTCCCAGGGCAAGAAGAGATGGAAACACCCCAAGGAGGACAAGTCTCTGTATAATGCCTGTGTTTCCTAAACCTCACAGATACAAGTGCTCTGTGGATTGAGATGCAGCGCTCTGAGGATTGAGCTCAGTAACAATTCTGTGATTTGATTAGAACTTGGTTTTATTGCCCTAAGAACTCCTCAAGTTGAGAAAGGTATATTTGGTCATCTCTATTTTTGGTTGAGCAAATAGCCTATAGTCTTTGACCTGGTTTGTCCACAGTCTCACTGTGAAGTGGACAGTCACTCTATGATGTCTCTGCTTGTCTCTGTTCCTCTGCTTTGGGTCACACGGGGCCCACCTGTTTCACAGAAGAAGCAGTTTTTATCTTCTGTCCATGACTCTTCTCTCTGTAGAAGTCAGCAGTCTAATTCCTGCTCCCATTCTGTGAAGTATGCAAAGCAAAAGGACAATGCTCCTTTATGACGTAAAGGTGACTGTTGAAGATAATTTAAAAGTGCTCCAGGCTGGGTGCAGTGACTGAAGCCTGTAATTCCAGCACTTTGGGAGGCCAAGATGAGGAGATTGCCTGAGCCCATGGGTTCGAGAACAGTCTGGGCAACCTGGCGAGACCTCTTCTTTACAATAAATAAAAAAATTAGCTGGGCATCGTAGTGTGCCCTTGTAATTCTGGCTACTTGGAAGGCTGAGGCGGAAGGATTGCCCGAGCCCAGCAGGTTGGTGCTGGGATGGCTGTGAGCGTGCCACTGCACTCCAGCTTGGGAGATAGAGTGAGAT